ACACTTTTCGACAAGAAACCTCGGATGTTTCGTTCTGATCGAGGTACAGAATACACCGACAAAAAGGTTGTGCAGTTTTTAAAGAGCAACGGAATTGGAATACAGTACACAGCAGCCTACTCACCTCAACAAAATGGCGTTGCGGAGCGTAAAAATAGAACACTTATAGAAATGTCGCGGTGTATGCTAATTGACGCAAGACTGAGTCTTCTTTTTTGGCAGAAGCAGTAACAACGGCAAACTTCATTCAGAATCGACTATCAACTAAAGCAGTTTCGAAAACGCCATATGAGTTATGGACAGGTACATTGCCATTGTTGAAGAATTTTAAGATATTTGGTTCTAAGTGCTATGTACACATTCCGGATGAGAAACGACAGAAATTAGATGCGAAGGCGTTTCCAGCAATTTTCATTGGATACGATGAGAATTCAAAGGCATTTCGATGCTATGATCAGAGTTCGCGCAAAGTAAGAATAAGCCGCGATGTATGGTTTGTTGATCATAGTAATCTAGACATGACAATAGAAGAGGCAGATAAGCAGAAACAAAATAATCCATTAGAAATGGATCCAGTGGACGATCAACAGTTCGAGACAACAGTGATTGAAGATTCGACATCTACAATAGTAAGTGACGATTCAATAGACAGAAGTGATGAATTATTCGTCAGTGCCAACAGCAGTGAATCGGAAGGCAACAATAAAGATAGTGCAAGAAACGGAACTGAAATTATACGGCGGTCAAACCGAATGACTAAAGGAATTCCTCCGAAGCGCCTAATTACGGAAGTTAATGTAGTTCGCAAAATAATATTAGAGCCAAAAACACTTAAGGAGGCATTTGAGAGCGACTACAAGACTGAATGACAATAAGCCATGCAAGAAGAGATTAATTCGCATCATGAAAACGAAACTTGGGAAATAACAAAGCTACCATTCGGAAGAAGACCACTTGGCTGTAAATTGGTTTTCAAGATAAAATCAAATGCAGACGGCAGTATAAAAAGGTTCAAGGCTAGATTGGTGGCACAAGGATTTTCGCAAAAGTATGGATGTGACTATGATGAAGTATTTGCACCGGTTGCAAGGCAAACAACTTTTCGGCTGCTACTTACTATTGCAGGCAAGGAGAATATGGACATTATTCATTTAGATGCAAAAACAGCTTTCATCAATGGTGATTTAGAGGAAGAAATATATATGGTTCAACCCCCAGGCTTCGAACAAGACAGCGATTTAGTATGCAGATTAAGGAGGAGTCTATACGGATTGAAGCAATCAGCAAGAACTTGGAACAAGTCACTCAACAATGTAATCATTAGTGCAGGTTTCGAACAGAGTGATGCAGATCAATGTTTATATCGAAAGAAATTTGACGAGAATTGGTGTTACATTCTTATTTATGTAGATGACATTTTGATAGCCTGTAAAAGCACTGAGGCTATTAAAACAGTAGAAAAGACTCTAAAATCCAAATTCAAGATTGAAAACTTAGGCCAAATCAAAACATATATTGGCATTGAGGTAGAAAGAGCTAAAAATGGGTTCTTTCACATCAGTCAACAAGCTTATATCAATCATATTATTAATCATTTTGGATTAAAAGATGTAAAGGAATCTAAAATTTCATTGAAGACTGAATATAGAAAAGGTGAACCAACGGAGGCTTTAGATAGTAATGCAGAGTATCAGCGGCTAATCGGAAAGTTACTTTACGTTTCAATGAATACTCGACCAGACATCGCTGCGAGTATTTCAATTCTCGCACAAAGGACAACTAATCCTACACAAGAAGACTGGGACGAATTAAAGCGAGTGGTGAAGTATCTAAAAGGTACTATTCATTTAAAACTTTATTTGGGAGATAGCAGTAACAAATCCCTCATAGGTTACGCTGATGCAAACTGGGCAGAGGATCGAACAGATCGAAAATCAAACAGCGGCTACATATTTAAAGCATATGGAGCAATTATAAGTTGGTGCTGTCGAAAGCAGTCATGTGTTGCTTTATCATCTACTGAAGCTGAGTTTATGGCACTGTCAGATGCTTGCAAGGAGGCTATTTGGTTGCGATCAGTTTTAGGTCATTTCCAAGTGGACATGAGTCAGCCAACAATTATATTTGAGGACAACCAAAGCTGCCTGGCATTGATCAATCCAGAAGGCTTTTCAAATAGGACAAAGCACATCGATACACGTCGATTTTTCGTTAAGGATCATATCAACAATGGGACGATCAAATGCGAGTACTGCAAGACTGAAGAAATGTTGGCAGACATGTGTACCAAACCACTAAATGTAAACAAATTAGCTGACTTAAGAAATTTATGTGGATTATATTAATTAATTCAAATGAGGAGGAGTGTTAGATATCACTATAGTTTTGTTTTCGTTTTTTCAGTTACATTTGAATTTTATTTATAATCAGTAAAGTAGATGACAGTCGAACAAAGAAGCTACGCCATCTAGAAGTTCATTTTTATAGTTCTAAAAATTTTACCGCGAAAGCAGTAATCTCTCTCCTCTATCCCTCTCTCTCTCTCTCAAGTCTTCCTCTTGATCTATACGTTTTGTAAAAATAAAGTATAACGTGAACAAAAGGTGTTACATTATCTTGTGGATTCAATATTCAGTTTCGTTAAAGCTAACATATAAATATATAAAAAGTCTGATCGCGAAATAAGTCATGTCATATAAAAAATTTTAAAAGATTTTTTTTATGGGATCGATGTACTAACTAATGACATTCATAATAAAATAATAGTCACTTCATGACTGAAAAATGATGTCAAAATAATGTTATAGCAAGACGTCAATATAAAGTCGTGTAACAATAATCAGTCATTTTGACCACATATGACCAAAAATGACTAGTTTGGAACGTCAAAATGACGTTGTGCTTGCTACCTGGGCAGTAATCCATCGCATAAAAAAAATTGGTACACGAAATCAAACTCATCCTATATGCAGTCTCCTGTACTATCACACTATCTAGTAACATTAATAACAGATTTCTAAAGTAATTTAGAAACGATTTTTCTTCATTGAAAATGTCGAAGGTTTGTAACTAAATCTAAAATTAAAATTTTATTAAAGTGAACTTCACTTAGAATTAATTGAAGAATGTAGCTTTGTTAATATTTTAACTTTACGAAGTTTGCAAAAAGTATATTAAGTAGAGAAGATCGTCATATTTTAATGAAATGATGGGACTGGTGGCGGATTCTTTGCTTATTTAATTGGATATTTAACATATCCTCAAAAATTACTTTTTTAAAAAGTATAAAAAAGTTTTTTTAAAAAGTATAAAAAAGTTAACCATGTGTCAGAATTAAATTGTAAAAAATTTTATGTTATTGTATAATATAAAACTGTTTTATGCACAAGACATAGTATTATTTAAACAACAAAAATGTTACATTAAACAAAGTTAATGTGCAAAATAGTTATTTCTTAATTGACTACAAAAATTAGTGATATCCTAAAAAAATTACCTTTTCAAAAAAAGGTAAAAAAAAAGAAGTCGAGTAATCTCAGTAGTAAAACATTATTGTATAAAACTATTTCACAAAAATTATTTTAATAAAAAATTGTATTTAAAAAAATTGTGTAAAATAGTTGTTATAGTTATCTACAAAAATTAATGATATATTTAAATAGAAAATTACGTCGAGAATAAAAGAGTGCGATTTTATTTTATGTTTATCAACAGTGTGTGTGTGTGTGTGTGCGTGTGCGTGTGCGTGTGCGTGTGCGTGTGCGTGTGCATGTGCGTGTGTGCGCGCGCGCGCGCGCGCGCGCGCGTGTGTGTGTGTGTGAGTGAGAGTGAGGCGGGGAAGGGAGAGAGAGAGAATTAGAGAGAATTTAAATATTTTGTCTAAGAATATATTATGTATAATTACAATAAAATTTAATGAAGTACATATTATCATATAGCTTTAAATTAGAAGTTTCAATAAAGCACAGGAAACATTAATGATTTAAATTTGTTTAATATGCAATGTAGTTTCAATGTAAAAATAATATTGAAGGATATATAATATAAAAGAATATTAAATTTGCGAAAAAAATTAAATAAATAAGTTCACATATTCGATCTGTTTAATGTTACAAACGATGCGATTATATACGTGCAAGAGATCTTATATATTTCAATGGAACAACCATATACACACATTTGGAAACAAACGAGGTAATCGTTTTAGGAACCGTCTGTCAAGTTCACCTACCTCAAATGCAACAAATTAAACTTTTGTTTGATTGGCCTCATGGTGTCAGTGACTTCTAATAAATTTTCATGACACTGTACGTTTACAACCTCATAGACAATAACATGTTCATGAACGAACAATGCCACGCTGTCAAAAAATAAAATCTTCCAATTCTTTTAATGACAAAACTACGATTTTATGCTTTCAAAGAAGTAATTTAGATTAACAAAGTAATTTAGTAAACAAAAGAATACAAAAATATTAAGCTGTATGTACATTATGTACATTTTCAATATTACATATTCAATATTATGTACATTTTGAAAAATAATTAACTTAGAAAATTATTATTTTGATATTTCTAAATATTTATGTATCATTTTCTGAGACAGATTTCTTATATTAATATTCTATTTAATTTCTTTGCAAATAACTTTTTTCACATATTTTTTTTGCTAATAACATTTTAATAAACATAAGCGCTGACTAATATTTTACAGGAATACTTAGGATAATAATTTTGATGAAAATAAATAAAGGTACATATAAGGTACAATAATATATTTTTAGTATATATAATATATATAATGTCATTAATAATATATATACATATATATATATATATATATATATATATATACATAATGTCAAATATTAGATACTTTCTCATTTGTGCAATTAAAATTATTCATATAATATAACATTATTTAATTTCAATTATTTATAATTATGAATATAATTAACACTTTGTATTATTTCATGTTAATAAAGAAAAATACTGGTTAATTGCAGGCCACAAAGTATCGTTGTAAATGCATGTGTATTTAATTATATATTATTAACACACATAAGCATAAATAATAAATCGATAACTATAAACATTATAAAATGCTATTTGTAAGAAAGATATATAGATATGTTTGCGTCATAATCGTTACTTTTAAATGGATATTATTGATATTTCATAAAATTCTGAAAGTAATCCTTTTGACATTTGATTTCGAAATTGCGCCTTCGTATCTTGCTTTGAATATTTAAAACATATTGGTATATATTGCTACACATTGGTAAATACATTACCATACGTTTGTAGCTTTCTGCTAATTTGTTTATCTAAAACAGATTATGTCGATATTAAGTATTAGTGTGAATAGCCAATAATCAATTATCAATAAATATTATATTAAATACGATCTCGTGTATGTGTATATATAAATATAATTATATTAATATATATATATATACATATATATATATATATATAATACATACACAATAATCTTAAATATATAATAAGAATAAATAGTAATTATACATTATAAATTTACAATTTTTCTTCTCAGAGTCAAAATTTTTGTTATCCCAAAAAAATCTGGTTTATAAGTTTGTAAACATTTTTAATCAATTAATGTCGATTTTTATATAGATTTCGTATCTTCATCAAAAATTCAGCAATCGAACAAAATGACATGAATTTTAAAAAATTGAGTAAAGCTCTAAATGTGAAATATAAATATAAATTTTTCGAACTAATTTTTCTCTTAAGAAAGAACCAAATGTGAATAATAGTGCCTCAGTTTTAGAAATAATTAATTTCTTTAAAATAAGTTGTTGTATATGGAATATATTTTTTCCGCGACTAAATAACTGAATAAATCTCAATTCTAGATTTCTATTAAAATAAATCATTCCTAATCTCTATAGAAAAGCATAGGCAAAAAAATATCGTGAGAAAATTACTGAAACAAAAATCATTCTTTTATTGTATTATGTGTTCTATCATATTATGTGCATAGTATTGCACTGTATTTTACTTAACAATTTTTTTGTCTGTAAGAAATGTTTACAAATAATTTTGTAAGTAATGACAAATAAAAATCTATAGAATTTAGAATTAGTGATTTTAAAAATAAAATTAGAAACCTATACAAGTTACGGCTATCACAGAGAAAATATTATTATAATAATTGATATATCTAGCAGACTATTGCATTAATTCGTGTTAACCTATCCATCATAATTAAATTTTTGGTAAACTAATGACTTGTATAATATTAAAGTATGCAAATCACATTACGTAATATCTCTTCCAATCATACTAAAAAATATTTAAATTTATTTAACTAAGAGTTAAACATCTAGATTAACTAAGATTTAAATCTAAAGCTTATAAATTCTCTTTTTAAAATTTATATAAATCGATTTTTATTAAAATCACTAAAGTTTCCAAGTAAAGAAATTCTCTTCTTTTTTTGCTTTCTCACTTGTTCACTCATTCTTTTCAACTCTGTCATTCTATTAAAAATTATATATATTTTAGAAATAGTATTTTTAGAAATTAAAAATAAAAAATGCTTATTTCATAAAAGAAATTGAATGACATTATTAAATTAAATGACATTTAATTTTTACATGTTACTTTGGGATACCGTAACATTAATATATACTGTAATAAAAGCAAAAAATTAATGATTAATAAGTGAATATAAGTGGAATATTAGTACAATATTCATAAAATTTACTTTTACTTTCCTATTTCTCTCTTTCACAAAAAACCATAACTTCTTACATTTATTTAATTCAACTTCTGTTGCATTAATAAATTTATCTGTTAGAAAGTAGTACATTTATAAAATAAATTATTTTAATATTCAACAACAATATTAAATAACAAATTTATGTTACATCATGATTATTAATTTTACATATACATATATAAACACGTGGTATTTTTACCTTTTTTAATTGATTTATAGAATACACATGATTAATAATAACAATAAATGTTGCATGCGCGCTGACTTGTCTATAACAGTAAAATAATAAATTTATTGATACATAAATTGTTGAATGATAGATATATATTTACGAAGGAAGCTGTATTACCTGGGTCTTATGTTATCAAGTGTAAATATGTTTTCTAATATGAAGTCGAGTACTACAGGATTCCTGGCATGCTTCGCGATAGTAAAAAGAAAATAATTAATATAATCTTTATCGGAAGAATTTTTGAAAAACATAATCGATGTTGTACTATCATTTTTTATTAGGTTTAAATAGGGATTGATAAATTGTGAATACGCAAAGCAAGACAGATGTTTTAAAAATTTAGTTTTAAATTTTTCTTTTCCCAGATGATATAACTCCCCCCAAGGAGAATTTTCATTACTAAAAGAATAGTACAATATTTTTAAACCTTGACAATATGTCCATTCTTTCCACCATAGCAAAAGCCTATTTAACAAAAAACAAATTCTCTCATATAAATGTTTTGCACATATTAATCTTATATTTTGATTAAATAATTTAACAAATTATAATTTCATAATATAACATAATAAATTTAAATTTGGATCAAATAATGTAATAAACATTGCACATGTATTTACAAAACAATCAAATTAAAATAACCGAGAATATATAAGAAAAATTACGTGTTATTTCCGGGATCTTTGAGATGTCGATTTAAATTAAGTTGGGCATTTTTTATGCATGTTTCACTATCAAGATTACATGCCCATCTCGCAGCCTCCATTCTTAAAGACTTTGTAAGATCGTATTCACTAGAAACTTCATCGTATTTAAGTTTATTAAGCAAGTTGTTTAATAAGTATAGCATGTTATCCTAAATATATAAATAAATAAATAAATAATATATATATATATATATATATATATATATACAGGGTGACCCATTTTAACTTAGGCAGGCAAATAACTCGAAAAATAAGCACACTACGAAAAAATGGTTAGAATCAAAATTTCGTCATTTCGAGGGGAACGTACAATGACGTTAAAATCAGCCCCCCACCCCTCTCCCTGGGCGGTGAGGGGGGGCAAGTTTAAAATCTTAAATGGAACCCCCTATTTTTCATTGCATATTCTTGTAGCTTATCTCGAGAGCTTTTCAAAACACTATAATTAAGTACCTTTTTATTAAGTACTTTTTGAGTTATAAGGCTTAAAATAATTTCTTAATTTTACATAAGCCATAAAATATCTAGTAAACCATTCATTTTTCGATTATCTTACCTTTATACTTTTATGTACAAAATAATGAGAGGAATCAATTGGTGTAAAGAAAACATACAGTTGTTTTTAAGAAAAAATATGGAATTGTTAATTGCAAATTACATATTTTTTCTTAGAAACAACTATATGTTTTCTTTACGCCAATTGATTCCTCTCATTATTTTGTACATAAAAGTATTAAGGTAAAATAATCGAAAAGTGAATATTTTACAAGATATTTTACGGTCTATGTAAAATTAAGAAATGATTTGAAGCCTCATAACTCGATAAATGCTTGAAGGAAAAATATTTTATTATAGTGTTTTGGAATGCTCTCGAGGTCAGCTATAAGAATATACAATCAAAAATAGGGGTTCTCATTTAAGATTTCAAACTTGCCCCCCTCACCGCCCAGAGGGAAGGGTGGGGGGGCTGATTTTAATGTCATTGTACGTCCCCCTCGAAATGACGAAATTTTGATTCTAACCATTTTTTCGTAGTGTGCTTATTTTTCGAGTTATTTGGCTGCCTAAGTTAAAATGGGTCACCCTGTATATGTATATATGTGTGTGTGTGTATATACATATATATATATATATATATATATATATATATATACATACAGGGTGTCTTATTTTAAATTGCCCAGGCAAATATTTTGGAAAATAATGAAAAATCGAAAAAATGTTTCAGACAAAAATTGTATGGTTTGTAGGGGACATAAGATGGTGCCATTAGTTTGATCTTGAAGAGTTACATGAAGGTTACGTGAAGGTCATTTTGAATTTCTTAAATGGAATACCCCACATATTTTCGCACATTCTTGTAGCATATCTCGAGAGCTTTCCGAAACACTATAAATAAAAGTTTTTTCATCAAGTATTTTTCGAGTTATGAGGCTTAAAATCATTTCTTAATTTTACATAAACCATAAAATATCTTGTAAAGTATTCATTTTTTGATTATCTTACCTTACAACTTTTATGTACAAAATAATGAGAGAAATCAATTGGTGTAAAGAAAACATACAGTTGTTTTTAAGAAAAAATATGGAATTATTAATTGCAAATTACCTTGACCTTTATCTTAACCTTCATGTGACTCTTCAAGGTCAAACTAATGTCACCATCTTATGTTCCCTTAGAAACCATACAACTTTTGTCTGAAACATTTTTTCGATTTTTCATTGTTTTCCGACATATTTGCTTGAGGATATTAAAATAAGACACCCTGTATATATATATATATATATATATATATATATATATATATATTCTATATATTTATATTGTTACTTGATATAAATTTTATATTTTTCGATTCTTGCATTATATTATGCTATATAGAAAGACATCTTCCGCAACTGTATTTTATATATTAAGAAAATTTATATATTAAGAACATTTTGTAGAAGAACGTTCTTAAGAAGATTTATATATTAAGAACATTCTGTCTGTCTAAACAGCTCTGAATTCTTTTTATAAAGATATCTATCTTATATAGCTATACTTATATATACGTATTTATACACAAATTTAAATTTTTCTTGCGTGCACATTCACACATGCTTAACACATGTTCATATCATAAAATAAACATACAGAAGTGCATACATGCATATATTGTAGACATGTAAACATAAATGTAGACATTATATCCATAATATAATTTAATAACTTATTATATTAATGTTAACTGTTCGAGTATTAAACAGATAATTAATATATATGTTTCCTACTAACTTGCTATCTCAAAATTAATGATATTTAAACCGTTATTATAATATCATGCTGTGATTAAAAATAATAATAATTTTCAAATTTTTCTCCTTTTTCCTCTCCAATTTTTTATAAGATTAGTACATACACTTGAATATTAATTTACAAATATATAATTATCTTTCATCCAAAATATGTATATTTAAAATACTTAATCAAATTTTTTCTAGCTATGTATATTTTATTAGATGTATTTTTTTGGAAAACACTTAATAATTATTATTATAAATGCACACAATATTAATATGTGCAATAAGTAATATGTTTCTAATATGTTGAAGACATCACTATTGATATTGTTTATAATATGTGTTATTACCTTGATATTAACATATATGTTTTCCTGAAATAGAAAGATATTGGACAGATATTCTAAAGCTTTGAACATAGGATACCATGCCACGTAGTCTGTTTCTCGTGACAGATATTTCGTGATATTCCAGAATACAATGGAATTAAGTTGATTTGTTATCATTAAGTGGAAAGCGTCGTCGATAATTTGGGCACGATTCAGAACATATATATTCATATAATTTTCAGAATTTAGATAACTTATAATTCTTCTCCAGTTTTCGATATCGTAATTGACTCGATAATATCCTGTAAAATAAATAATTATATATATATAATTCTTTCAATGGGATAATATCCTGTAAAATAAATAAATAAATAAATATATATATATGTATATATATACATATATAATTCTTTCAATGGGTTTATCAGTACAAGTGTCTGTTTATACTTTTGTACTTATACTTTTATACATTAATAAAGATAAAAACTTACTTTATAACATTAATAAAGATAAAAATCATAAGATGAAAATCATAGGTATCATAAAGTGAACATAAATGGAAATGCAATTTGTGTATTATATTAGATATAAATCATTTGCATGAAATTGAATATTTCTAATAATTGTGCGTATGTATGTAATATATATATATATATATATGTATATATATATATAAATATATATATAATTATGCATGTATATATAATGTATAATAAATGTAATACATAAAGATATGAATAATATTTTTAATATGAAAATCTTTCTCCAATATGAATGTATGATAAACACTATAAAATATAATAAATTTATTGCAAACTT